ACTATAAAACAATTTTTGAAAAACACAAATAAAAACAAAAAAAGAATGACCCAACATACATATCAATGAAGCTACGGCTGGTCGGTCCATGAGAAAAAGAAAAAGAAATTGTAATTATTGTTGTCAGAATTTGGATGATGAATGGCACGGGAAGCATCCAATGCAATGCCACAAGCAACGTTTATTTTATTTTTTAATAGGAGGAATTTCCAGGGAAAAGGGAGTTGGGCTGGGATTAGAAGAGGCGGTTATGTTCACCACATCCATTCGGGGGTGACCACTTTGCCACCAAAGGTTGGACCGCAGGCAACATTTATTTATTTCATCTTTATTGGTACTGATATAAAAAATAAAATTGTTTTTCTAATATTTGTATTTAAATATTTTAAAATATTTTATTATTTTAAATTTTAAATTTATTTATCATTTTTTATTAGCAAAAAAATATTATAAAAAAAAATACAAGTGATACCTCTAACTATTACACCATACATTACAGAAGCTAACAGATAGGGTATTCATCATACATTTGGCATAACAAACTATTACAACTTAACATTTTAGGTTTGTTTGCTTTTATCGCCCAATCTCAAAAACTAATTTATTAAAGTTGGATGATGAACGGAAAGGAAAATGTTGAAATACTGTGTTTTCCTTAAGATATATTTAAGAAAAGATGCAAGATAAATATATAAATTTTGTTTTTTTTTTAAATTTACAAATTTAAATATTGTTGATTTGTGAATAATATGATTAATTTTTATTTTTTAATATAAATTTATAATAAAAAATTTTAAAAATCCATAAATATGTAATTTACATGCGTGCGCCTTTTCCTTCCATCATTATGATTTTGCGTGACAACCGTGGCGCTTTTGCCTTATTTCTGACACTGGATTTGGACGGAATGAAATAAAGAAACGCAAACATACCCCACAAGACAGACGTCGACGGTAAGCACCAAACCAAACAAACCCCACAAGGCAGACGGTCCCACAAACAATTATGCTTTGGATCTTTCGATGGCGAGAAATTAATTCAAATAAAAGAGATGTTATTTCTTTGATATTTCTTTTAATTAAGGCAAAACTATAAGTTAAGCCCCTGAACTACCCCCAGAATTGCTATTAAGCCCTTAGACTTTAATTGATGCGTATAAACCCTTGAACTCTGGGATCAAAGCAATTAAGCCTTTTTTTACGCCAACTTAACGGCCGTTTATGACTCCATCACCTGGCTTAACTGCCGTTTGGGACACACCCACTTGGCTGCTTGGATGGCAAAATATTACCATGTCATGCTTATATGACAAGGATTTGACATATGAGCGGGACTTTTGAGTTATATGATCATTTAATTTTTTTATTTAAATAAAATTTAAATAAAATAAAGTTATATATTTGGATAAAAATATTATTTAAATAAAATTTTAAATTTAAATTTAATA